TTGTAAAAACCCCCTCATAAGCTACCTTTTTCTGTTTTATCACACCCTTTACTTCATTATTCCACCAATCACTCCTCTTTCCTCCTGCACCCACCCTCCTATAGCCACAAACTTCTGCCCCGCATTCTAATACTGCATTTTTAAAACTATTCCAACCCTCTTCAACACCCCCCACTACTCATACTTGCACTAGCCCACCTTTCTGCCAATAGTTGCTTATATCTCACCCGAACTTCCTCCTCTCTTAGTTTATACACTTTCACCTCTTACTTCTTGTTGCCATTTTCCTTTTGTCCCATCTACCTCTTACTCTAACTGCAGCTACAACTAAATAATGATCCAATATATCAGTTGCCCCTCTATAAACATGTACATCCTGAAGCCTACCCATCAACCTTTTATCCACCAATATATAATCTAAAACTACTTTCATTACATGCTATATCATACCTTGTATATTTGTTTTTCCTCTTTTTCATAAAATATGCATTACTTATTATCAAGCCTCTTTCTACACATAGCTCAATTAAAGGCTCCCCATTTTCATTTACCCTGGCCCCCCAAATTTACCTACTACTCCCTCCACAACATTTTTACCCACTTTAGCATTGAAATCCCCAACCACAAGTACTCTCACACTTGGTTTAAAACTCCCCACACACTCACTCAACAATTCCCTCTCTCTCTCTCTCTCTCTCCTCTACACTTCTCTCTTCTCCAGGTGCATATACACTTACTATAACCCACTTTTCACATCCAACCTTTATTTTACTCCACATAATCCTTTAATTAATACATTTATACTCCCTCTTTTCCTGCCATAGCTTATCCTTCAACATTATTGCTACTCCTTCTTTAGCTCTATTTGAAACCCCTGACCTAATCCCATTTACTTTTCTCCACTGGAGCTCTCCCACCCCCATTCAGCTTTGTTTCACTTAAAGCCAGGACATCCAGCTTCTTCTCATTCATAGCATCCACAATCATCTCTTTCTTATCATTCGCACAACATCCACACACATTCAGACATCCCACTTTGACAATTTATATTCAGTATATGCTTTGCTTTTCTCTACTGTTTTTCTTAAGTTCTTCCTGTAATATTTCCTTTCCAATTTAAAACTGGGTGGCAGAGCAATGACTGCGGGTAATAAAAATGCATTAACAGATAGACATACTCAGTATGAAGGAAAAAGCTGGAAAAAAGGATGGAGGAACAGAAACGTTAGTAAAACTAAAGTATATAAATATGCAAACTATCACAATCTGTAGTAGAAATGCTAAAAAAGTTTTAACTAGTATATTAAATTTACCATGAAAATAAACCAATGTAATAGGAAAATATGACTAAGTTAACAAACTGCATGGATAATGAGGCTAGAAGGCAAGACAAATGGTTAACCCTTTCAGGGTCCAGACCCCCAATCTGAAACTTGGTAGAGAATGTTTTTCTGAAGGTCATAAAACAAAATGTACAAAATTTGATGGAAAATTGACAAAATTACGCTCTCGCGAATTTTGCTGCATAAGCGATATTTACGTATCGACAACTTTGCCCACTTTGACACCCATTTTAGGTTAATTACATTATTCCAGTTGACCAAATTCTTAGCTATTTCACTAGTATTACTTCTATTTTATCGAATGAGCACAAGAAATCACCCAGTCAACTGTTTCAACCACCCAGTAAAATGATCAGAAATTGGTAATTTGGCCAATTTCACACAAAATTCAAAATATTCTAATTTCAAAATAGGGTCCAGAATAAACAATGCAGGCATTTCTGGCACTAAAATAACATTTCCTCTGATTATCAGTTACGTTTCCAGGCTTTACAAATGAATTTCATTTTTATTTTTTATTCACACCAAAAAATAGAAGATTTACTGTTATGCAATATTGTAATAATTGTATAAATAATATCAGTGCATTTGTGAACGCACATCAGACCCACCAGCTGACATGTATTGGACATGTGACATCATTTGTTTACATCGCTACTTTGAGCTCAGTTTCAAGCCATTTTCAGTACTAAAACCAATCAAAATCATCTCTATTTCTGTAATATATCTTCCATTCTATCAAATGAGACCAAGAAACTGCGAATACAACTGTAAAAAACATACGAAAAAACACCACAAAGTCGGTTTTAATGGAAAAATACAGTACCATTTTTTTTTTCCTCATTATGCACTACGTGCTGCAAGATTTGTTTTATGTGGTGCACACTTACCACAGATGTATTCTCTCACATCTAGGCCCAAAGTTACCACTCACAGCTTATCTGAGTGAGCTGAGCTAATGGCGTAGAACTATGGCTTGGATCCTGGCTTCAAAGCCGTAGAACTATGGGACGGATCCTCAAAGGGTTAAATAAAATTACTTTATGTGATGACATTTTCTAAGCATTAGCATGCCAAAAAAGCAATCTTAAGAAGATAACAGTATGCACTAGGTCTTGTCTTTACTAAAAAAAAAAAAAATCCTTATAAATTACTAAACCCTATTTGGTAAAAGTGGTTATATGTCACTTCAAGTGATGACATATTGCGTTATTAATGTATTACTATTTGAAATCATTTCCAATGTTAACAAATCATGGGAAATGATTGAGCTGTTTATAACTGAGAGTTTACCTGGAGAGAGTTCCGGGGGTCAACGCCCCCGCGGCCCGGTCTGGGACCAGGCCTCCTGGTGGATCAGAGCCTGATCAACCAGGCTGTTGCTGCTGGCTGCACGCAAACCAACATACGAGCCACAGCCCGGCTGGTCAGGAACCGACTTCAGGTGCTTGTCCAGTGCCAGCTTGAAGACTGCCAGGGGTCTGTTGGTAATCCCCCTTATGTATGCTGGGAGGCAGTTGAACAGTCTCGGGCCCCTGACACTTATTGTATGGTCTCTTAACGTGCTAGTGACACCCCTGCTTTTCATTGGGGGGGTGTTGCATCGTCTGCCAAGTCTTTTGCTTTCGTAGTGAGTGATTTTCGTGTGCAAGTTCGGTACTAGTCCCTCTAGGATTTTCCAGGTGTATATAATCATGTATCTCTCCCGCCTGCGTTCCAGGGGGAAAACAGGTTTAGGAACCTCAAGCGCTCCCAGTAATTGAGGTGTTTTATCTCCGTTATGCGCGCCGTGAAGGTTCTCTGTACATTTTCTAGGTCAGCAATTTCACCTGCCTTGAAAGGTGCTGTTAGTGTGCAGCAATATTCCAGCCTAGATAGAACAAGTGACCTGAAGAGTGTCATCATGGGCTTGGCCTCCCTAGTTTGAAGGTTCCTCATTATCCATCCTGTCATTTTTCTAGCAGATGCAATTGCTACAATGTTATGGTCCTTGAAGGTGAGATCCTCCGACATGATCACTCCCAGGTCTTTGACGTTGGTGTTTCGCTCTATTTTGTGGCCAGAATTTGTTTTGTACTCTGATGAAGATTTAATTTCCTCGTGTTTACCATATCTGAGTAATTGAAATTTCTCATCGTTGAACTTCATATTGTTTTCTGCAGCCCACTGAAAGATTTGGTTGATGTCCGCCTGGAGCCTTGAAGTGTCTGCAATGGAAGACACTGTCATGCAGATTCGGGTGTCATCTGCAAAGGAAGACACGGTGCTGTGGCTGACATCCTTGTCTAGTTGGGGAAAAAAAAAAAAAAAAAAAAAGACTGATCAGAAACACTTTCATGGCTCAGCCACAGAAACTTTTCAGTTTTGGGATTTCTACAGCCTTGGCGAAAACCTGGTTGCCGACTCAAGCAGTATAAGCTTCGGTGGCCCCATAAGCCAACTCTTACACCATTTTATTACCGTTGTGTATCTTTATACGTATATGCTTCTAAACTGTTGTGTTCTGAGCACCTCTGCAAAAACAGTGATTATGTGTGAGGTGAAAGTGTTGAATGATGATGAAAGTATTTTCTTTTTGGGGATTTTTTCTTTCTTTTTGGGTCACCCTGCCTCTGTGGGAGACGGCCGACTTGTTGAGAGAGAAAAAAAAATCTTTCTTAAATTCATTCACTTTTAGTGCATGTTTGACTGAGGTGTGGTGTGTTCCTATACAGGGCCACACCAACCCTCACTACACACTTACAGGTCTACAAGCAACGACTGCTACAATCTATAAAAAGCTATTTTTGACAAAATAAAAAAAAATTAATAAAAAAAAAATCTGTTCTTCCCGTAGCATACGACAATTTTATGTAATTCAGAAACAACCTGAATGATATGCAACATTTTACTGTATATTGTAATACAAGACAGAAAAAGTGAAGCTATCATGATTGGTCAAAAAAAAAAAAAAAAAAAAAAAAAAAAAAAAGCTGATCTGAAAAAACTATCAGCAAAACTAAAAGAAACAATATATTACAAGGTACAAATTTAAAGAAATTCTGCAATCAACTTTAACCAACTCATGCTCTTAAGAAATGTACTGTAGAGCTTCATGTTTTGCACTGAGTAAGGATACAAGTTTTAATGATATTGTATTGATGAATGGAGAGGATTACGGATGAGATTGCCAAGACATTTTAAAGAAAAAAAAAAAAGAAAAGAAAAAAAAAAAAAAAAAAAAAAAAAAAAAGAGCACTACAGAGAAATTACCCAATGAGAGTTTCAAGATGGCCTAAGGAAACACTGCCATTACCACCCTACTCCTGAGGAGTTCCTAGGGACAAATGGAAGACAATCCAATCTGAGTGAAAGTCATCAATACTTGCTACCTGGAGCCTACCTGGATAGTGTTCCAGGGGTCAATACCCCCATGGCCCAGTCTTGTACGTTACTTTTCATATACACAGTACCAAAAGAAAGACAAACATGTTATTTGTGTATGTTTATTATTTCTTTTCATCACAAGCTAGAACAAATATTACAAGTCAAAACTACACTAATTGTAATGAGGACTTTCACCAAAAATGTTACTCAAGGAATTCTTAAATTAAAAAGGCAAATAGAGTTATTAAAAATTAAATACCATACTTGTCATGCTTTCGTATAAATACTTACAAGAATAGATAAGTGCAGGAAATATGGGTTCATTTCTTTCCTGAGCTGTTTCCACCAGTATACGTAGTGGACCCTTTGGAGATAGCACTGCAATCAAATCTGGCAAGAAGAGAATACATTAAACGTTTATAGCTTGACATTAAAAAAATTAACTAACTCATCCCAGTCTTCTTCCATAGAAAAAATAATGTACAGTTTGATAAGACATGTGTACATTGACAAATTAGAATAAATACAAAGGCATATAAATTTGTAGCATGGAAATAGATGGATGAGAAAGCAAGTAAGTGTTAGACGAGCATGACACATTCCTCAAGGAAAAATATGCTAGTCTCAATTATAGTTTTTACAAGAGAAAAGCTTGAAATAAACTTGACATTCTGAATGTGTAGATGTAACCTGTTCTCCTAAAACACATTAATTTCTTACATACGATTTTCATCAATTTTCTCCTTACACGTTATTTAGGTTAGGCTCTGTTTAGTTAGGTTAGATTGTAGTCTATAGGCAAATATATACCATAACACCAATAATTTAATAATGACTGAAGATGATAGGAATATTTGCAGTGCGAACAGAAAATGAAGACCCACAGTAGACTGTACAATAGACAAACATGTTTTCCTTTCACTGTCACATACTTTTCTGAGCAAAACAAAAAAAAAAAAAAAAATTAAATATAAAAAAGTTAACAATTTGCATAAAAACTTTTATAAAACAAGAAGTCTACAAACCAAAGAACTGTATGATGCTGTCCAGATTTTAAGCAAAACCTGTAAGACTAGATTTTAAAAAATAAAGAAAGAGCACACCAAAAGTTTTTTCAATCTTTAAAAAATGCTATTTAAGTTTTCAATTGTAGCAAATTTTGTAATAGCAAATTTTGTAATAAGACATCAACTCACCCCTAACTTATTTCCCATACTCCTTCCATGTGCATCCACACTACTTCACCTTCACACACGCGTGCACGCACACACACACACACACACACACACACACACACACACACACACACACAACCACACACACACACACACACACTCACACACACTCACACACACTCACACACACTCACACACACTCACACACACTCACACACACTCACACACACACACACACACACACACACACTCACACAACTCACACACATCACACACACTCACAACACTCACACACACTCACCACACTCACACCTCACCACACACTCACACACACTCACACACACACACACACTCACACACACTCACACACACTCACACACACACACACACACACACACACACACTCACACACTCACACACACTCACACACACTCACACACACTCACACACACTCACACACACTCACACACATCAACTCCTCTCACACACACACACACACACACTCACACACACTCACACACACTCACACACTCCTTCAATTAATACAAGTAGAAGAAATAATAAGGGTGGAAGACACGGGCACAACTATCAAATTAACAGTTAGTACAAAACAAACTTTTCTGTATGCATTATACTGTACAAGTCTACTTAACAAACACCCTCCCTTTTTCATTTTTTAGACCTCTTATTTCCTTCATAATTTATAATCCAAACCTGAAAAACAATTGCATCCATGTAGAACATATTTACCCCAGATGGAGATGACTGCCAAGACCATCCAGAGTGTGTACTCAGGGAGGTACTTGATAAACATCAAGGACATAAGCGAGGCAATGAATATGAGGTAGGCTTGCTGAAGGCGTAAAGGACCATGCCAGTGGATGCTCACCATGCCCATTACACCGAAGTTCCACACACATATGGATACAGTAATCCAGTCAATTCTAATATTATAGCCACGGAGTAGTTCCCTTTAAGAAATAATACTTGCATTTTTATTTAATATACAGAAAGACCTCAATTTAAAAGAATAACAATGAGAGAGATAGAGAGAGATAGATAGAGTAATGCTATTAAATTCAAATGAGAAAACTGTACAAATGGTACAAAAGCCAATGGCACACAAATGCAAACTACCGATTGGTACAAGTGCACATCCATGTGCACTCAAGGGTATACAAATTTTGCCAGTTATTTGAGTCAAACAGAAAGTACTGGAGTCCTGGAAATGGAGTTTGGGATATTAACTGTCGTATCTGCATGCCTCTGCAAAGACAGTGATAGTGTGAATGATGGAGAGTTTTTTTTTTTTTTTTTTGGGTGGGGGGGGGGGGGGTCACCCTGCCTTGGTGGGAGACGGCCAGCACAAAAAAAAAAAAAGTAGATTACAAAATCTTGCCAATAAATAGCTAAAGAAGTCTTATTAATGGACCTCTCAGTAACAGATTTCAACAATTTGGATAAGAAAAATTGGCCAGATAAACATTAGGAGTAACAGACAAAATGAAAAAATGCCTAATTCCAGATTTTGTCTGTATAGTGTCTGGTTGCCTTCAGAAGTATTGAACCAAATTCGACGACTCCAACATTTCTCCAATACAGACCAAAGTAGCCACCACGTCCAGGACCCATCTGTTTTTCTCGTTTCCTGAGCCAATGGTCACCCATGCTAGTTTACTGCTTGTGCACACTTGCACATACACCTGTCATTTAGTTACCAATTTTCCCTGGATTTAATGTTTCATGTGACTATTAATGTATTAAGTAAAATGCAATTAACAATGCCTTTTAAAGCTAGTGGTAGTGGTACCAAGAGAAAATGTGGTTCACGGTCTTAAGCAGAAATTTGAACTAATGACAAAGGTTGAATCTGGAATCTCATTGGAAAGACAGAGGAATATGGCATTAGAAAATGAAGTGTGTGATATCTGTACAAGCCATCTACATTTTTATTAGTAGTACTGTACAGCTCCTCTGACTCAGAATTAACTAAAGCTCCTTTGACTCAGAATTAAAGTTTTTACAAGTCATCGCAGTTTACACCATCTTTTCACCACTAAAATGCAAGTATAATTACTGCAAATTACACACAGTACCATAAAATTACTCTACAGCACAATTTTGTACTGAAGTACTACAGGTTACACTACCTGCATTCTTAGCGTTGGGTTGCCTTCTGAAGTACTGGACCAAGTTCACTTGTTCACAAGGCCACCAGATAGTTTTTTTGAAAAATTAATTTCATAATTTGGAAGTTCTGGACAATTGGCAATACAGTATACCCCCTTCCCACTATTTGTCTGTTAATCAGAGGGTCATATAGCAACTGAGAATTGCGAGGAAATTAGGTCTGATCCAAAAAAGAAGGTAAATCTAGTTTCTTGGATTAACGGTCCTTCATCAGCATCAAGGCACGTTCCTTGAGGTGTGTGTAAAAAAAAAAAAAAAAAAAGCAGGCTGCCTAAAATTCCAAAATTATGCTGCTGGATCAAGAAGCAATTACTGTTATACAGAAGTTAAGAACATCATTTCTAGTATACTTGTACTCTGAAGGATACATGGCATAAAATACAGCCTCCTTGTAAGGGCTAACAAATGATTTCTAAAGGTAACTGTCAGTGATTTTGAAAGTTTTGGTGGCAATTCAAGAGACAGTTGATACAGCCAAATTAATGCCATAGAACAATGTGAAATAATTCCTGAAATAATAACTTCTTTCTAATCACTGTCAGTCATAATTATCACACATTATCTGGTATGCTTAAATGCATTCACTTGCAAATGCTATCCTTTCTCTTGTCTCCTCCCTTAACCCTTTCAGGTAGGCCTACATATGAAAGAATGGGTCTATGTAGTCAGTGTGCACAGTATAAAAAAAAATCCTGCAGCACACAGTGCATAATGAGAAAAAAAACTGACTGTTTTTGCTTTAAAACAACGACTTTGCAGTGTATTTTCATATGCTATTTATGGTTGTATTCTAGTTTTCCTGGTCTCATTTTATAGAATGGAAGACATATTACAGAAATTGAGATTATTTTGATTGGTTTCACAATGAAAAGTACCTTGAAATTGAGCTCAAAGTAGTAGAAATGTTCAATTTTTGCCAAAGTTCAAAAGTAAACAAATCATGTCACGCATCCAATACATGTCAACTGGTGAGCCTAATATTCTTTCACAAGTGTGCTGATATTGTTTATACCATTTCTACACTAATGGAGTAGTCTGCATAACAGTAAATCTTCTATTTTTTTGTGAGAATAAAAATTCAAAGTGGAAAGCAAAAGAAATGTAAGAGAGGCCTGAGGACATGACTAATGAACAGAAAAAAATGTTATTTTACTGCCAGGAATGTCTGTCTTGTTTATTCTGGACCCTATTTGGAAATTGGCATCTTTTGAAATTTGTGTGAAATTGGCAAAATTCCCAATTTCTGACCACTTGATTGGATAGTTGAAATCAGCAAATGGGTGGTTTCTTGTACTCACTCGATAGAGAAAATGGAGTTCTAGCAAAATAGTTATGATTTTTGTTGACTGGTACATTGGAATTGGCCGAAAATAGGGCTCAAAGTGGGTGAAATCGCCGATGTGTAAACATCGTTAAGATCGCTAACTTCACGAGAGCATAATTCCGTAAGTTTTCCATCAAATTTCATACTTTTGGTGTCATTATGATCGGGAAAAGATTCTCTATCATTTCATAAGAAAAAATAATTTTTTTTTTTTGAAAAAATTTCCAACCCTGAGAACACATTTAGGAGAGGGCCTGTCGACCCTGAAAGGGTTAAAGAATCCAAAATGGCTAGCTGCCAAGTTATGGATACCTTCCCTAATTTCATACATTGTGAATTAGTATTATACTTGTAGGAAAGTGCTTAACCCATAGGGGTCAACTCATAAGGGTCATACTGTGCTTAAGAAATGGGAGTCAATCAGATTTGATCTGAGGAATACAAAGGCAGTTTTGAAATTTGTAGATCACTCAGCACTCTTGGATATGCAAGGCATATTCAGGAACGCTTCCAGTGAAGAGGTACGTAAATTGGAGAAACCTGCCACCCATTCCTTAACTCCATTCACCTGCTTTCAACGTTTAAATTTTAAATGACAGAAAATAATATGCCTATACAATTTTTTCACTGTGTATATATGGCAACTCACATTTTATTTAAATCTGTCAATCTGTTCAAAGTCTATATGATGCCAATCACACAAAAGCTTTATTGAAATCCCAGTGAAGGGCTCTTGATGGAATTAGACTTTACATTCTCTTTACTTAGATCAAAGCCAATTGCTTCCCATCCCCAGGCACTGTATGACCCCGAACAGGTTTAGCAACAATGAATTAGAGCAAGGAAGTTTGTAAAACGTCTTGGAAAGGCTGGAATAATCACTGATAATACTCACATCATGTACATAATGGTAAAAATGAAGAGCAACAGTAGAGAGGACATAAGCAGCCATCCATGGATGATCTGGAACAAGCCCATAATGATATCGTCATATTTAATAAGCAGGGATTAATGGAAAAATGATGAATTCTTTACACTAGTAACGGAATTTATCAACAGAATTTACAAGATTTCGAAGACTGATTACCCAGGTTTCTAATGTGAGCAAGAAGTGCTCTGGTAAAGATGTTGGAAACAGCCCACACGCCTGGAATGACTATGATGATTTTATATACCCAACTGCCATGCAACAGCTGAAGATGCTGTTTGAGCCTTTCTGCTGCAAATCAAGAATTATACACCAATACCAGGATTTTAATTACTATATCATTCTTGATAAAGTGTAAATGAAGAAAAACTATGAAATTCAGTACAGAAGTGGTACTTAAGCACTAATTGTATGTACACATGCAATTATTTCATTCTTAGTAGTGCTGGCCAATCCTCAGCATTTAGTGCTAGATACTTTCCTGCAGTTGTAAAATATTCAAGATGATGTGCAACATATGAAAATGCCATTAAACTGCACTGTGAAGTTTGCTGGAAATAACTAACAGTGGGATCAGAGAAAGAATTTTACATGACCAGAGTGTGCACAAGTACAGTGGAACCTCGGCACTCGAACTTAATTGGTTCCAGAAGGTTGTTCGAGTGCCAATCTGTTCGAGTACAGAACAAATTTTTTACAACCGATTTTCTTTTTGGTTGGCTGTTATCACTAACTCTCTTAAGCCCCATGGTGACATTTAGGCAAATATAAAAAACACCAAAAAATACAAAAACACAAAATAGTTTACAGAGAAGCTCTGGCAGATCATGTTTGTTTGGTCGAGTGCTGAGCAAATGGTCGATTACCAAGTGATTTGTTTACCAAACAAAGCGTTCAAATACTGAGTTGTTCGAGTATGGAGCTGTTCGAGTACCGAGGTCCCACTGTATAGGATTTGTGATTACGCACACACATAAGACTGGGATTATACACAAGTGTTCTATAAATACAAGGCACTTTGCTAATGTAGATATTTCAAATCACGCTCAAAAATTCGTTTATGCAGCTCCTGATTCGCTATGCTGGCATCTGAGCAGCACTATTTGTTTACATCCTCTGTGAGCTCCACGTCTCTCAATTCTGTCTGGAAACTCTCCAAAGTTTCCAGCATTTTAAAGTAATCACATACAGTGGACCCCCGCATACCGATTTTAATCCGTGCAAGAGGGGTCATTGTTATGCGAAATAATCGGTATGCGAATGAATTTTCCCCATAAGAAATAATGGAAATCAAATTAATCCGTGCAAGACACCCAAAAGTATGAAAAAAAAAATTTTACCACATGAAATATACATTTTCCTACACACAAAGAGAAGGATACATGCACAATAGTAGAGTAGTACATGCACAGTATATATTGTGCATGTACTAGTCTACTAAATGAAGAATAAATGACACTTACCTTTATTGAAGATGCAGCAATGACTGATGAGACACTGTGTCCTGGGAGTGCCTTTTCCTCCTGATACCTGTAGGTCCTGTTTGGCATTTTCTTCCAGAACAGGCCTTATCACACTGTGTATGTCACTACGATTCTTAAATCTCTCAAACCAACCTTTGCTGGCTCTAAATTCACCAATATGAGCACTAGTTCCAGGCATTTTTCCCTGTTCACCTGGGTGTTAGTCGACTTGTGTGGGTTGCATCCTGGGAGACAAGATTAAGGACCCCAATGGAAATAAGTTAGACAGTCTTCGATGACACTGACTTTTTTGGGTTATCCTGGGTGGCAAATCCTCTGGGGTTAATTGTTTCTTGGTATTCTCAATAAGCCACACCAACAACGGTGCTACAGCAGCAGCAGCAGCTGACGGTGGTACAGCAGCAGCAGCAGCTGACGGTGGTACAGCAGCAGCAGCAGCTGACGGTGGTACAGCAGCAACAGACGATGCTACAGCAGCAGCAGACGATGCTACAGCAGCAGCAGACGATGCTACAGCAGCAGCAGACGATGCTACAGCAGCAGCAGCAGCTGACGGTGGTACAGCAGCAACAGACGGAAGGAGGCCTGGTCTCAGACCGGGCCGCGGGGGCGTTGACCCCCGGAACTCTCTCCAGGTCTCCAGGTAAACAGCAGCAGCAGACGATGCTACAGCAGCAACAGACGATGCTACAGCAGCAGCAGACGATGCTACAGCAGCAGCAGCAGCTGACGGTGGTACAGCAGCAACAGACGGAAGGAGGCCTGGTCTCAGACCGGGCCGCGGGGGCGTTGACCCCCGGAACTCTCTCCAGGTCTCCAGGTAAACAGCAGCAGCAGACGATGCTACAGCAGCAACAGACGATGTTACAGCAGCAGCAGACGATGTTACAGCAGCAGCAGCAGACGATGCTACAGCAGCAGCAGCAGCAGCAGCTGACGGTGGTACAGCAGCACCAGACGATGCTACAGCAGCAGCAGACGATGCTACAGCAGCAACAGACGATGTTACAGCAGCAGCAGACGATGCTACAGCAGCAGCAGACGATGCTACAGCAGCAGCAGCAGCTGACGGTGGTACAGCAGCAACAGACGATGTTACAGCAGCAGCAGACGATGCTACAGCAGCAGCACCAGCAGACGATGCTACAGCAGCAGCACCAGCAGACGATGCTACAGCAGCAGCAGCAGCTGACAGTGCAGCAGCAGCAGCAGCAGCTGTACCACCAATAGTAGCGATGGTTGATTGGGGTTTATTATACAACTTGGCCAGCTCGGAGACACGCACTCCACTTTCATACTTATCAATGATCTTTTTCTTCATCTCTATTGTAATTCTCACCCTTATTGCTGTAGGGTTGGCACTAGAAGCTTTCTTGGGGCCCATGGTCACTTATTTTCCAGAAAAAGCACCGAAAACACTGTAATAATACGAAATATTCCGATTGTATGCTTGGATGTTACCGCAGAGGCTGGCTGGTAAACAATGCCACCGGCGGCACATGTGAGGCTGGCTGAGGGCGCACATTGGACGCGTCTCGGACGAAAATCGGTGAGCGGGTTTTTAAGCGGTATGCGAGGCAAAATTTTTGCGATTAAAGCAAGCGGTATGCGGATTAATCGTTATGTGATGCCATCGGTATGCGGGGGTCCACTGTATATTATGCTATTTGCATTACAATAGCATCTAAGGGTAGTTGTGATGATAAAAAGAAGAGTGGCAAGTTCCAAGCTACAAAGTAGGAGCTAAGTCAGGCGAGGGAGTAGCTAAGAGTGTCTCATTTGTGTTGAAGACGCAATAACACTGGAAGAATGTTGCTCTGGGGCGCTAAAAATGTCGTATATTTATGCTATCAGACGTTTTTAATAACACATCTATGACATGTTTGGGACAATTACATAAACATGCTATATATCATGTAATAAATGGTCTGATGGGCACGTATTAAATGGCCAGCTGGACACACATTAGACCATTTAAACGATTAACTGGGAGTGATTGAGTCTGGGTGTGTTGCCGTGAGCCTGGGTGTTTTGCTGTTATGTATGTATAATTTTGCTGTTATGTATACATAATCACATAGGTAGTAGGTTGGTAGACAGCAACCGCCCAGGGAGGTACTACCGTCCTGCCAAGTGAGTGTAAAACGAAAGCCTGTAATTGTTTTACATGATGGTAGGATTGCTGGTGTCCTTTTTTTGTCTCATGAACATGCAAGATTTCAGGTATGTCTTGCTACTTCTACTTACACTTAGGTCACACTACACATACATGTACAAGCACATATATACACACCCCTCTGGGTTTTCTTCTATTTTCTTTCTAGTTCTTATTCTTGTTTATTTCCTTTTATCTCCATGGGGAAGTGGAACAGAATTCTTCCTCCGTAAGCCATGCGTGTTGTAAGAGGCGACTAAAATGCCAGGAGCAAGGGGCTAGTAACCTCTTCTCCTGCATATATTACTAAATGTAAAAGGAGAAACTTTAGTTTTTCCTTTTGGGCCACCCCGCCTCAGTGGGATACAGCTGGTGTGTTGAAAGAAAGAAAGTATACAATCTGTTTAGTGTCTAGTATCACTAGTCACTCCAAGCTGGACGTCTAATACATGTCCAACTGGCCATTTAACACATGTCCATCAGACCATCTATTAGTGTCCACCCAAATCAGACATTATATATACATTTATGGAGCATTATCCCTACAATATACCTTACATTATATACAAATTGTCTTCACATTAATGCAGAAGTTTGCATAACAGTTTCCATGAGCCAGGATGGGTTGTCAGTATTTCAGTGTTTATGGAATTTGTGAGCTCTGTCTTAGTATTCTGGCAATTTTCCAAAGCTTCATTTTACTTTCATAATTTTTAGTCCTAGCTCTATTGTCCACTTAATACATGACAGTGTAAACACGTTGTGAGGCCTTTATACGTATTTAAATGTGAAAAAAGGCGATTAACTTTTGGGCAATTTTCATTTTACATCAGTAGCCTGGAGCCTAACCCATCATACAATCAGTGCCCTGCTGTATATTTTAATATCTCTTTTAGCCACAGAAATAATGAGAGAATTAAAAGTTGGATAAACTGTAATGAATAAACAACCATTTGGCGAGATACTGAAGGTATATTAGCTACATTCTCTAATATTATCTGCTAAACTTTCATATCTCCATATCTTATTACCAATTACTAATTAACTTTTAAAATACAATATTTTGAACTATTTAATAACATGCTGAAGTAATTAATAACACTCGTATTACAATACACACATGAAACTCTGTAGATCTATTAGTCACTAATGGTCTCACCTTATAGCAGCGTTTCTTGTAAAGTAATATAAGCACAATGGTTAAAACAACCACTACACACAGGAGAATTAGAGCATTACGTAGTGCATCATACACTTTATCCCCAATACTCTGAGATTCCTCATGAAATGGGGTGTACAATCTGTAAAATAAAAAAAAAAACAATCAAACATATTTTCTGTGTGCAATTACTAAAGAAAAAGGAAATTTTAGGGTTGAACTGGCCACTGTGTGAGGATGTACCAGAAGACAGATATTAAGAAAGAGCAGTGTGTTTATGTTATGAATGAGAAACTGAATGTTATAATACTAAATGAAACAAGGTTTAAAGAGAAGGGGAAATTTGAATGACAATGAGTAAATGGGCTAAAGTCAGGATTATCTAAAAGAACAAGAGCTCAAAGAAGAGCAGAAGTAATATGAAATGAACAATTATGGAAGAAAAAATGGGTACAAATATTTAAATGTAAGAGTTATACAATTTAGAATGAAAGCAGGATGTGAAAAATGGGTTCTGTACCTAAAGATGAGATAAGAGAAGATAGCAATGTGAATGTTTAGGGAGTTTTTATTCAGAGAAAGCATTTGTTTTGGGAGCCCATAATGTTAATATGGGAGAAATGGTTGTAAAGAGCATAGTAGGAAAGTTTGGAGTGCCAAGGGTTAACTGAAAACAGGAGACTTAACTAGTATAATGCATCATGAATGAGGTTTGGTAACAGTCAATGCCATGTGTTTTTCAAAAAAAGGATGCAATTTTTCCTAACTGCAACTGAAGTACGTCTAAAACTATATAGCGCATATAAAGACCTTCGTGGTATGTGTTCTTAAATTTTTGTTGCATTTTTCTAATTGCATTTACAAAAAATTGTAACAGAAGAGCTTTATGAGAGCTGATTGTAATAAATTTACAAGTACAATAAAGTACAGCCTCTCCTCACTTAACAACGGAGGTCTGTTCCTAAGACCACGTCAGTAAACGAATTTGTCGATAAGTGAGGAGCATACTATAATGGTAGTGGGTTTGTGTCAACTATCTTTCATATTGTTTTAATGTCACCTTTGCATCATTTATAAAATTTCTGGTATATTTTTAAATGTTTATACAGTAGCGTACTGTATATTGTAATAAAAAGAATAGAGGAAATCAACTCTAGCACACACATTATTTAGGTATGCATATTGGTCAGAGAGCCTGTTGCAAGTCCAAGGTGTTGGTAAACGAGTATGTCATTAAGTGAGGAGAGGCTGTACATAAGAGCGGTTTACTTGTGAACATGCACGATTTTTTAAGTGAAATATCATATCAGATCATTTAGTGGTAGATATGTAGTTTATTATTTTTATTATCACACTGGCCGATTCCCACCAAGGCAGGGTGGCCCGAAAAAGAAAAACTTTCACCATCATTCACTCCATCACTGTCTTGCCAGAAGGGTGCTTTACACTACAGTTTTTAAACTGCAACATTAACACCCCTCCTTCAGAGTGCAGGCACTGTACTTCCCATCTCCAGGACTCAAGTCCGGCCTGCCGGTTTCCCTGAATCCCTTCATAAATGTTACTTTGCTCACACTTCCAACAGTAGTTGGAAGGAAAAAAAAACATCTTTTGTATACATGTATATGCATGAGGCATAATGCTCTATTGCTCCTCAACCAAAAATGCTTCACTTTCAAAATGAATCAACTGTCAAAGCAGTTGACCCAGAGGAAAAAATATATAATCATTCACCCTCCAGCTGATTTTGTAAAAAGGGTACACTGACGCTTGCTGCTGTTCAAGCTTTAAACTCTTACCATTTTACTCCATTCATATTCAATGATAATAATAATTATCTTTATTTCTACAAGTACATGTACAAGGTATACAAGCCTAGCTGACATCAATGACATACTACTATGCAGAAATCCCCTTATTATGCAGAACATTTCAGGCAAATTAGGTCAGTTTTGTTCCAAGACGAGACCCACGCCAGTCGACTAACACCCAGGTACCTACTTTACTGAGGGGTGAACACTGGACAGGTTATATCTTAAGGAAACACATCCTGATGTTTTCAGCCATACCAGGGATCGACCCCCAGACCAGTGTGTGAGCAGTGTGTGCTAGTGATCAAGCTACGAGATACCCCCAAGGCTCGTCAATCTTTTTAATACATCTCATTTAATTTGTAAATGAAACTTCTTGCATTATTTCATCATTTACATTCAATTATTTCTTTTCATTGTTTCCATGATTCTTAATACCTCTCTAACTCATGTCCAAAATTTCATATCTTTCACTCTTAACAGATTCCTTTTCATATCATCTTTTTTCTAAGTTGTATGCCCTCTTGGTATTAATTATAAGGGACCTTGTTTAATAGGGTTTCATAAATACTTAAAATGTAGTTTGAAATCTGACAGTTAAAATACAGTACTTACAGGTATGCTCCTTTTTCTGTGTAAAATGTAACTGAAGATACAGTGGCAACCACCACTAACATACACAGAGACACAGGGATGAACAGCTTTATTACATGTTGTGCACCATATTTGAGCTCCTCCTCTTCTTCCTCTCCCTCTTTCCACTCTCCAGCTGATTGAGAATTTTCTCCAGGTTCCTAGAAAATAAAATAAGAAGTGTTATTTAAAATACTCAGCATCTGATTAAACAAAGGCATTGTATCTCATCTATTAAGTATTCTTAAAAAAAAAAAAAAATGCAAAAACAAGATATGTGCTTTTGAAAAATAATTTACATACTGTACTGTATTACATACACCAATGCTTTTAGTGCTTTAGACTAAATTCTACAACCATGCCAATTTCAGACAAAAAAACTGGCTGGATAAACACTGGAAATGTCAGACAATGGATGAAACTCTGTAATTTTGAACTGTGTAGCAAGTGTCCAGTGGTCTTCTGAAGTATTGGACCAAGCTAAACGAATCGGACATTTGTCTAATTTGGGCCAGAGCAGTCACGTCCAGGACCTGATGTTTTCACTGTTCCTTGAGCCACAGGCCAGCCATGCCAGCTTATTGTCCGTGCTCACTCAAACACTCATCAGTCTCTAATTTACCCTGGATTTAGATAATTTTGTGTGACTATTAGCATATTATCTCCATGGGGAAGTGGAACAGAATTCTTCCTCTGTAAGCTATGCGTGTCATAGGAGGAGACTAGAATGCCGGGAGCAAGGGGCTAGTAACCCCTTCTCCTGTATAAATTACTAAATTTAAAAAGAGAAGCTTTTGTTTTTCTATTTGGGCCACCCTGCCTTGGTGGGATACGGCTGGGGTGCTGGAAGAAGAAAGATTAGCATATTAAGTGCAAATAACACTGGCTTCTAAAGCAAGTGGTTATGCCATAGAAAACATGTGGTTCTCAGTATTAAGCAGTAACTTGAACTAATGAAGGTTGAGTCTGGCATCTCAGCGGCATGGGTATGAGAGGCATATGGTGTTAAGAAACAATGTCTGACATGCAGTGAAGCGAGGACAAACTTTCAGACTATGCTCTTAAAATTGGCATAGATGTTAGTGGAGTTTTACAGCTCTCCTGACTCAGAATAAAAGTTATTCTGAGTCTCCACTGTCAATCATGGCAGTTTACACCTTGTCTCTCCACCAAAGAAAGAAGTAAAATAACTGTAAATTAATACAGTACTGTACTATAAAATTACTATACAGCACAATACTGTAATACTACAGGTTATAATGCTTGTATTCTTAATCTCCAGCTGCCTTCTGCGTCAATGGACCAAAACTGTTAGCGCAAAGGACAACTGGACGATCATGAAAAATTAATTTCATAATTCAGAAGATTCAGATAATTAGCAATATACCCCCTTCCCTCTATTCCTGTTAATGAGAGGGTTCAATGTAACTCATCCTATAACATCTTTTTCATAAGGTTAGGATCTAATTTAGATATGGTGAAAATCACGTGAAAAAGTGTCGACTTTCCAGACTACTGCGTTTCCAAAATTTAAGCCGATACCGATAATTTTAGGCTGAAACTGATACCATCAAAATTAACCTATACCCATACTTTGGTACACCCCAATAACATTCCTTCACAAAATAAAGCCAATTTTATTTTTAAAGCATACCCCTTCTGTGAACAGCTACTAACTAATGTTGACCTGTAGTTCAGTGGTCAAAGTGATTGCATCACAACCAAAACATCTTAGGCAAGATTCCTGGGCAAAGCATGATACACAGGCATATCTCCTTGCATATACTGAAAATATTCATCTAGCAGTAAACAGGTACTGTCCAGGTGTTAATAAATTGATGTGGGTCATGTCTAATGGGTGGTACCGTATACTATAACTGGGGCCAGATTTTAAAGGGGAAGAATAAATATTCCTGGCTTCTAAAAATCTTCACCTCAAGAGGCTTTCTAAACATCTGTATTGCACAAGTCTTGACAAATTATGTCACAATTATGAGTGTGCCAATGTAGAGATATGGGCAAGTACCAGCTAATTTTGCAGGTACATGTATCTGTAACCAGCTTAAAACTTAATATTAGCATGTATCAGCAAATTTTGTCATCAGGTAATATCGATGGTATTGGTACTGGGCTAAAAGCGAGTACTGATACTGGTAAAATTTGGTATCATTCCATCCCTAGTCACAGGGATACTATAAGCCTGGTAGTCTGAAAAACTTGTGAATAACATTTCAATCCTAATACGTATATCATACGTAATCATAAAATAAAATTTAAACTATACTCACCGGTACGTGAGTGTGCCCTCTCCTGCCACCATGCCCACGAGTAACCTGCTCTTGTTCACCACGCACTCTACCTTCACTTCCTCTATTGCTCTGCCTTGCTTCGTCCTGTTGACCATCACCTTGTAAGTGATTATTTGAGATGGCAGCCTCGTCATCTAATGCCAAACCTCCATCAAACTGAAAAAAAATCAGTGAAGAAAAAAAGAATATGTTTAGTAAACAAGTTATAGTGTGTAATGTAAGAGTACCATCTCATACAATTTAACTGAGTATCAGGCACTTTTAGGCACTCAGTTGCAGGTCAAGTTGTGTGTTGGCCAGTGGTGGCTCGGGTATAGGCACTGCGTAACTGTAGCACCCTCTATTTTCACTCTATATTATCAATAACATTCAATATAATGAGTTTTTTTCTTTAAATTCTTTCTTTATACTTGTACATTATATAATCCTTGGGCTTAATGTCAGTACATGAAAAAATTACAAAAATCCTTGTATGGAACTGTGCGCTTCACAGAAGCACCTCCACCAATTTTAGCTATGAGCCGCCACAGGTATTGGCTGTACATATTTATTATTCCTGCAACTTCTTTAAAAATGCCATTAAGGTTGGGTTTGGCTGGTTGGATTATCGTTAATTCATGATATTATTGCTAATTCATGATGAACATTTTGAGTAGTAAGTATTAAGGGAAAACAACCAATATTGAAAGTTAAACATCTTATGCTATTTATGTCTTATGAATTTGAATATACTGCAGTATGTGTTAAAATTCTACCATTAAAAAAATAATAGGCATTAGACATTGTCTCTGTTCACATCTAAGGTTATAACAGACTTCTATGGGAAAAATGCAATTTGCTTAATAAGCATTACGATTTCCTGAGTCATGCTTAATGAATTGTTCACTTAATGAACCTTTTCTCCTGTCCCTATCTAGGTTAAGGGACAAGGGTCTACTCATTGAGTAGATTAAGAAATTAATTTATAAATCTAAGGTCAAGTTGAAGATGCAGACTACCTAACAATGGGAAGGAAAAATTATTCGGTGTGGGAAGTGTACCCTTTGGCTTCACCAAACTTGTGAAAATATTAACTGAGTTTTCTATGAACAATACAAACAAAAAAGTCCATGGATGTGCTTAGAATGCCAACATACACAATTAGTTGATGCATAGGAGACCTGTATGCTCACTACTTTATATCTGATGCATAGTGTAAATTATAATAAAAAAGAAGCGCTAAACCACAAGGGCTATATAGCGCTGCTGTATAGTGTAGTGCCCAGTCACCTCGGCGCTATTAAAAATTCAATTTCAAACTTTAATTTATATTACCAGACATACCTACTGTACTTATTTCTGTAGGCTAATAATAATATATACATTATGATCAAGCCTTATGAATACATCACTGGTGGTCCTAGTATGGCTGCTGGCTCAGTAGCAGTTTACAGGTGGTATACGAAAATGTAGTTTACATGTAATAAAATAGTGTTAAACACAAAAGAAAGCCACTAGCATACTGTATTTCGGGCAGCCTAAGATAACTCAAAAAAGTCAGCCACTTATTTCCACCGAGGTCCTTGATGGTACAGGAAGTTAAGTTTATTTAAGCACAGGTAAACAAAAGAACAACTATCATACAGAGTAACATATGTAAATTATTTAGGACAAAAAATGCCAGAAGAAAATGGTTCATAATCCACTGGGGGGAAACGAAGACACTGAAAAAAGTCCTAATTACTTCTCGCGTCTCTACAAATTACAATACCATGACATCATACAGAGAACATTAACAATAAGGCATGGATAAGGTTGAGGAGGAGGTGGATAGATAATGGAAGGAGAAGCAACAAACCCGAGATGCTGCTGGCTGCATGGTGTGTGTGGGTGGTACTTCCCCTGAACCTATATCATCCTCCTGGTTTTGCGACCTCCTCTTCTTTTTCATCACTTTGCCAGGGCCATCTTCCACAGCGACAACTTTGTCATCCCTGTCTATGTTAACGTGGCCGTCCATCAGCGACTGGAGGCGCAGGCACAGCAGATATGACAGATGAGTCAAGTGTTGACAATGTCTGGTGTGTTTGTGTAGGCTGCAGCTGCCACCTGCACCACCTTCACATAACTAATACAACATTTATTTTAACATTAATACAACACAAACCCAGTCAATATTATTATTATTGTTATTATTTTTATTATTATTATTATCATTATTAGTATTATTTTCATCAGTATTATTATAATTATTATTATTATTGGTATTATTATTATCACCATCAGTATTATTACTATTATTATTATCAGCATTATTATTAGTATTATCATTATTATTGGTATTATTATCACCAGTATTATTATTATAATTTATTATTATGATTATTTTTTATTATCATCATCATAAGTTTATTTAAGTACACAGGTATAGAGGATCTACTTTCAAAGATCACAACAATGTATCTACCACATCTGCTGGAAAACTGATAGGATGGATAATGAGGCTGGAATATTGCTGCATACTAACTACGCCTTTCAACGCAGGCGATATTGCTGACCTGGAGAATGTACAGAGAACTTTCAGGGCATGAATAAGTATCGTAAAGCACTTAAATTACTGGGAAAGGTTGAAGTTCTTTTGACCTGTATTCCTTGGAACGCAGATGAGAAAGATACATGATAATACTCACTGTGGATAATACTGTATATATTTTCCGGAAATACGGTAATTTATAGGTAAAATAGATGCCCTATATTGTATTTTTAAAAGAAATATGTTATCGAAAATAGGAAACTGAGCCTGGGGAGAAGGGACAGTCGCCATTTTGTTTGAATTGAATAACACGTTGTGAATAATGGGAAGAATTTTTCCTGCTCTAGAGGTTAAAATTGGGCTGACACCTCTCAAATAGGAGGCGAAATTGTTGGATGTGCATTCCTGCATAACTTGAGATATCAGACGACTGGACAAGACAACTCCAGGAACCTCAGATAAGCTGTCTAAATTATGTTTAATTTCTGGCCAGTAAATTCTTCATAAATGTAGGCAAAAGGGGGGGGGGGTCCTGTACATGACATTAATCGGTCAAATTGGTGAGTGTTATGATTAAGATATATTCTCCTTCTGTTGTATAAATGTGTATATATGTGTATAATCATTTATTATTCTCAATATACAGTCCACAAATTTATATATTTACCAGTATTCCTGGTGTATGTATATTTCATTTAATTAATAGGTCCAGAGCAACTTGTGGTTATGACAGTGGTAGGTATCGAAGGGGGACATTTTTTGCGACCTAGGTGTCCCAAATTCCTACTTGTCTATGTAACTGATAAATAATAATTATCTTTGTTATCATTTTCTATTATGTACATAATGAGTTATATTCAGATAAATGCAATTTTCCACACACACACTTTGAATATCCTAGAGGGGCTACTCCTAAATCCACAAAGGAAAATCACTCCCTACGAAAGCAAAAGACTCGGCAGGCGGTGCAACATTCCCCCAGTGAAAAGTAGGGGCGCATATGCTGCTATGTATTATAATCTGTGTAACTGTATTTGTGTATACCTGAATAAACTTACTTATGAGTACGCCAAGAGAACACAATAAGTGTCAGGGACCCAAGATTGTTCATCTGCTTCCCAGCATACATAAGGGGGATTGTCAACAGACCCCTGGCGGTCTTCAAGAGGGAGATAGACAGACACCTAAACTACCCAGAACAAAATGGTGAGATTCATCCAAGAGAGCATGTAAAACAGGATAAATTATAACAGCTGAATGTTGAAGACAGAGTAAAACAACTGAAGTTAAATCACGTTTATAAAATTGCTCACAAACAGTGTCCAGAATATCTTGCTGCCAAGTTTGTCAAGGCTGGGAAGGGAGCTTCACTTGTGGTACCCAGTCAGTGGTCAGGCTTCAAATACATTTTATTGTACAGTAATAACGTAGTGGAACAGATTGCCTACACATGTCAAAGCCAGTTATAGCATAAACCATGTTTAGAAGAGAGCCAAAAGGTACCTAATGAATGTAGCGACAGAAAGGGAGGAAAATTATTTTTTATATAGCTAACACATGTAAATATAAATAACTCAAGTTTACCTTATTCCTAGTATATCTCCTTTATAGTATAATAATAAAGTATTGAAAGGACCCCATTGGAAATAAGTCACTTTGTCTAAGTTTTTGGGTCATCCTAGGTAATTACACATATGCTGCTATAAGATAAGATAAGATTTCGTTTGGATTTTTAACCCCGGAGGGTTAGCCACCCAGGATAACCCAAGAAAGTCAGTGCGTCATCGAGGACTGTCTAACTTATTTCCATTGGGGTCCTTAATCTTGTCCCCCAGGATGCGACCCACACCAGACGACTAACACCCAGGTACCTATTTGCTGCTAGGTGAACAGGACAACAGGTGTAAGGAAACGTGTCGGATTTCCACCCGCCGGGAATCGAACCCGGGCCCTCCGTGTGTGAAGCGGGAGCTTTACCCACCAGACCACCGGGCCACTATGTATGATATATTTATTTATTTACTTATTTAGTAATTTGAGCATACATACAGAGGTACAAAAAAAAAAATACAGGTAAAAGCAGCATGCCAAAGCCACTTGTATGCATAGCATTACGGGCTGGCTTAAAATTAACTTAAGATTAACTAAGCAATGATGTAATCAGTGATAAAGCATTATTGTAAACAGATAACAATAAAGCACAAATGAGTATTACAAAGACAGGTCATATGGTTGCATGCATTGCTGTACATTCAGTAGAATGGAGTATTCTGTTAGGTAGTGTACTTAAAGAATAACAAAGTTAGATTGGGTCTTAGGTTTAACATTTATGTGATATAATTGTGATAAAGTATGTACTGTAACTACCTGTAGGTTTAGCGCTTCCTTTTGATTATAATAATTATGTGTACCTGTATCTGAATAAACTTGCTTACACAACCACCACAAAAGCGAGGTACCCCAACGACAACAACAACAACCACCATAACTACAATCATCACAACAAACAACCCCAACAACAACAAACCCCAACAACAACAAACTCCAACAAGAAACAACCCCAACAACAACAAAACCCACAACAACCCCAACAACCACCACAACAGCGATGAACCCCAACAACAACCACCATCACAACAAACAAGCCCAACAACCCAGCAACAAACAACCCCAACAACAACCACATCAACCACTACAACAGTGATGAACCCTAACAACAACCACCACCGCAACGAAGAGAGAAAACCCCCAACAACTAACCACCATATGCTGCTATGTATGATAATCTATGTAACTGTATTTGTGTGTACCTGAATAAACTTACCATAACCTCAACAACCATCATAACAACCTCAACAACAATCATAACAACCTCAACGACCACCATAACAACCTCAACAACCACCATAAAAACCTCAACAACCACCAAAACGAAAGTTAAGACACATGTGCAACATCTGGATATCTTTATTGTAGTAGACGTTTCGCATCCAGTGGCTTTATCAATACAGATTCTAGGACATAATAGGAAGACAGTAGAACTATATACAAAAGATGAGGTAATCAGTCCCTCGGCCTTGGAGTTAGTGTTCACAGCATCGTGGTGGAGGAGAGTCTGGAGCAAAGGCAAGAAGACTGGCGCTTTTTATAGGCGTCAGTGAATGGGACGGGCAGCAGACGAGGGTCAGTCACTGGTAGGCGGGATTCCCAGTGGAAGTAGGTCCTTCCCAAAGAGATGGGTTAGTTGCAGCAGCCGTGAAGAAGGTCTTGTAGATGTCCTCTGAACCAAGATTCCATGATGTTGCAGTGTCTGACAAGTTGTGAAAAGAAAGGTATAAAATACCGACAATATGAAAGTTAAGACACTGTGCAACATCTGGATATCTTTATTGTAGTAGACGTTTCGCCATCCATGGCTTTATCAATACGATTCTAGGACATAATAGGAAGACAGTAGAACTATATACAAAGATGAGGTAATCAGTCCCTCGGCCTGGAGTTAGTGTTCACAGCATCGTGGTGGAGGAGAGTCTGGAGCAAAGGCAAGAAGACTGGCGCTTTTTATAGGCGTCAGTGAATGGGACGGGCAGCAGACGAGGTCAGTCACTGGTAGGCGGGATTCCCCATGGATGTTAGGTCCTTCCATAGAGATGGGTTAGTTAGCAGCAGCCGTGAAGAAGGTCTTGTAGATGTCCTACTGAACCAAGATTCCATGATGTTGCAGTGTCTGAATTGTGCAAAGAAAGTATAAATACCGACAACTTGTCAGACACTGCAACATCATGGAATCTTGGTTCAGAGGACATCTACAAGACCTTCTTCACGGCTGCTGCAACTAACCATCTCTTTGGGAAGGACCTACTTCCACTGGGGAATCCCGCCTACCAGTGACTGACCTCGTCTGCTGCCCGTCCCATTCACTGACGCCTATAAAAAGCGCCAGTCTTCTTGCCTTTGCTCCAGACTCTCCTCCACCACCGATGCTGTGAACACTAACTCCAAGGCCGAGGGACTGATTACCTCATCTTTTGTATATAGTTCTACTGTCTTCCTATTATGTCCTAGAATCTGTATTGATAAAGCCACTGGATGGCGAAACGTCTACTACAATAAAGATATCCAGATGTTGCACATGTGTCTTAACTTTCATATTGTCGGTATTTTATACCTTTCTTTGCACAACTGTCAGACACTGCAACATCATGGAATCTTGGTTCAGAGGACATCTACAAGACCTTCTTCACGGCTGCTGCAACTAACCCATCTCTTTGGGAAGGACCTACTTCCACTGGGGAATCCCGCCTACCAGTGACTGACCTCGTCTGCTGCCGTCCCATTCACTGACGCCTATAAAAAGCGCCAGTCTTCTTGCCTTTGCTCCAGACTCTCCTCCACCACGATGCTGTGAACACTAACTCCAAGGCCGAGGGACTGATTACCTCATCTTTTGTATATAGTTCTACTGTCTTCCTATTATGTCCTAGAATCTGTATTGATAAAGCCACTGGATGGCGAAACGTCTACTACAATAAAGATATCCAGATGTTGCACATGTGTCTTAACTTTCATATTGTCGGTATTTTATACCTTTCTTTGCACAACTTGTCAGACACTGCAACATCATGGAATCTTGGTTCAGAGGACATCTACAAGACCTTCTTCACGGCTGCTGCAACTAACCCATCTCTTTGGGAAGGACCTACTTCCACTGGGGAATCCCGCCTACAGTGACTGACCTCGTCTGCTGCCCGTCCCATTCACTGACGCCTATAAAAAGCGCCAGTCTTCTTGCCTTTGCTCCAGACTCTCCTCCACCACGATGCTGTGAACACTAACTCCAAGGCCGAGGGACTGATTACCTCATCTTTTGTATATAGTTCTACTGTCTTCCTATTATGTCCTAGAATCTGTATTGATAAAGCCACTGGATGGCGAAAACGTCTACTACAATAAAGATATCCAGATGTTGCACATGTGTCTTAACTTTCATATTGTCGGTATTTTATACCTTTCTTTGCACAACTGCAGACACTGCAACATCATGGAATCTTGGTTCAGAGGACATACAAGACCTTCTCACGGCTCTGCAACTAACCACTCTTTGGGAAGACTACTTCCACTGGAATCCCCCTACCATGACACTCGTCTGCACCGTCCCATCACTTGACACCTATAAAAAGCGCAGTCTTCTTGCCTTTGCTCAGACTCTCCTCCACCACGATGCTGTGAACACTAACTCCAAGCCAGGGACTGATTACCTCATCTTTTTAATAGTTCTACTGCTTCCTATTACGTCCTAGAATCTGTATTGATAAAGCCACTGGATGCGAAACGTCTACTACAATAAAGATATCCAATGTGCACAGTCTTAACTTCAATTGTCGGATTTTATACCTTTCTTGCAACAACACCAAACCTCAACAACCACCATAACAACTAGCAAATAACTACAGCACCATAACACCTCAATAACCACCATAACCTCAAACCACTCATAACCTTAAACAACCACCAAAATAACCATAACAACTCACAACCACCATAACAACCTCACAACCACCAAATAACAACCACTCGTCAACCACATAACAACTCACAAATGCCATACACCTCAACCAAACCACCATAACAACCTCAACGACCACCATAACCTCAACAACCACCATAACAACCTCAGCAACCACCATAACACCTCAACAACCACCATAACCTCAACAACCACCATAACCTTAACAACCATAACCTCAAAACCACCATAACAACCTCAGCAACCACCATAACAACTTCAACAACCAGCATAACAATCTCAACAACTGCCATAACAACCTCAACAACCACCATAACCTCAACAACCACCATAACCTCAACAACCACCATAACAACCTCAATAACCACCATAACCTTAACCACCATAACAACCTCAACAACCACCACAACAACCTCAACAATCACCATAACCTCAACAACCACCATAACAACCTCAACAATCATAAGAACCTCAACAACCACCATAACCTCAACAACCACCATAACAACCTCAACAACCATTATAACAACCTCAACAACCACCATAACTTCAACAACCATTATAACAACCTCAACAACCACCATAACCTTAACAACCATTATAACAACCTCAACAACCATAACTTCAACAACCATCATAACCTCAACAACAACCATAACAACCTCAACAACCACCATAACAAACCTCAACAATCATAACCTCAACAACCATAACCTCAACAACCATCATAACCTCAACAACCATAACAACCATCATAACCTCAACAACCATAACAACCATCATAACCTCAACAACCATTATAACAACCTCAACAACCATAACAACTTCAACAACCATCATAACAACCTCAACAACAACCATAACAACCTCAACAACCACCATAACAACCTCAACAATCATAACCTCAACAACCATAACCTCAACAACCATCATAACCTCAACAACCATAACAACCACCATAACAACCTCAACAACCATCATAACAACCTCAACAACCACCATAACAACTTCAACAACCATAACAACCACCATAACCTCAACCATCATAACCTCAACAACTACCATAACAACCTCAACAACCACCATAACAACCTGATCAACTATCATAACAACCTCAACAACCACCATAACCTCAACAACCATAACAACCACCATAACCTCAACAGCCATCATAACAACCTCAGCAACCATAACCTCAACAGTCACCATAACAACTCAACAACCACCATAACAACCTCAACAACCACCATAACAACCTCAACAACCACCACAACAACCTCAACAACCATCATAACCTCAACAACCACCGTAACAACCTCAACAACCATCATAACCTCAACAACCATCATAACCTTAACCATCATAGCTTCAACAACCATCATAACAACCTCAACAGCCATCATAACCTTAACAACCACCTTAACAACCTCAACAACCTCAACAACAACCACAACAACAACCACAACAACAACCACAATAACTCCGCCTCCCCTCTAACTCAGCCTCCTTCCTTCCATCCCTCCCTCTCCCTCCCTCATTCTCTCCCTCCCAGCACACAATACAAGGGACTAAACAAGTGTTAAAGAAACAAAATAAGAGGATAAGTAGCAGGAAGGAGGTGGTGAAGCTTGATGAAGCTTAGCCTCTCGTAGAGAAGAAGAAACTGTCTTCAAAGTAACTAATTAGCAGGACAGAGGTAATTCTAAAATATTTTTCTCACTCTTACTCATCTTTACAGTTTCTTAATTCGTGTATTTCTCATTCAAATTTCTCATTGTAATATAGTGTGTGTCAGAGGAGCTGGTTACATACACCTCAGGTTATTGTAGTATACTGTAAAATAAATTTTTCAGCCTGTCAAGGACCCCAGTGGGAATAAGTCACTGTCTGGCTTTTTTTTTTTTTTTTTTGTTTCCCTCGGTAATTTACACTATGTATGATAATTGTACTTATGTGTACCTGTGCCTAAATAAACTTTCTTACCATTTGGACAATTTTGGTGAAATCTCACACAAAATTTACCTGTTTTTCACTTTGCTCTTGAGCCAAGGAGTTGGAGCTACCCTCCCCTTTCTGTGATTAGACTTCCCATTACAGGCTGCTGTAAGACCTTTTCACTGTGCCATGGCTCAGTTGGTAGCCACCTCAACTTATATACTAAAGGACCAGGGTTTGATGATAATAATAATAATCATTAATTTTACAAGTGTATGATACAACTTATACAGACTTAGCTGACATCAGTGACATACTATATAGAAAGTCCCTGGTTATATAGAGCATTTTGGGTTAATTTTGACCCCCAGGATGCGACCCTCACTGGTCTGCTAACACCCAGGTACCTATTATACTGTTAGGTGAACAGGGACAGCAGGTGTCTTAAGGAAACATGCCCCAGTGTTTCTACCCATACCAGGGATCAAACCACAGACCTCGATGTGTGAGATGTGTGCACTGCCAACCAGAATGAATGAAATTGTTAGTAAGTTTATTTAGGTACAGGTTCACATGGTACAATTATCATACATAGTAACATATGTGTAAATACCTAGGATAACCCAACAAAAAAGTCAATCGAGTGACTTATTTCCATTGGAGTCCTTGTAATATCATATTATATAAAGCTGTAAATAATATGAGCTAAGATTAATAGCAAGTGCAGGAAGCATAGATATTATTGCTATAACAGAGACCTGGCTCAATCTGAAAGATAAAGAAATGCCTTCTGAATGTTGCATACAAAGCTATATATTATTCCACACTGATAGGATCAACAGAAAGGGTGGTGGAGTAGCGATGTATGTCAGAGACAATTTAAACTGTTGTGTTAGACAAGATATAAAATTAGAAGCATTAGCCACTGAATCTGTTTGGTTACAGCTTCTCAAGGGCCGTGAAAAACTAATCTTGGATGTGATTTACAGACCCCCAAACCTTGAAAGGGAGTGCAGTAAACTTCTCTGGGACGAAATTTGTAACGCAGGTGAAATTGCTGACCTAGAAAATGTACAGAGAACCTTCACGGCACGCATAATGGAGATAAAACACCTAAATTACTGGGAGCGCTTGAGGTTCCTGAACCTGTATTCCCTGGAACACAAGCGGGAGAGATACATGGTTATATACACCTGAAAAAATCCTAGAGGGACTAGTACCGAACTTGCACACGGAAATCACTCACTACGAAAGCAAAAGACTTGGCAGACGATGCAACATCCCCCCAATGAAAAGCAGGGGTGTCACTAGCACGTTAAGAGACCATACAATAAGTGTCAGGGGCCCGAGACTGTTCAACTGCCTCCCAGCATACATAAGGGGGATTACCAACAGACCCCTGGCAGTCTTCAAGCTGGCACTGGACAAGCACCTAAAGTCAGTACCTGACCAGCCGGGCTGTGGCTCGTACGTTGGTTTGCATGCAGCCAGCAGTAACAGCCTGGTTGATCAGGCTCTGATCCACCAGGAGGCCTGGTCAAAGACCGGGCCACGGGGGCATTGACCCCTGGAACTCTCTCCAGGTAAACTCCAGGTAATGGGAGATTTTAACTTTAGACAAATTGACTGGAGCAATTTGACAGGAAATTTAGTTGAGTGACTTTCTTGATACAATTCAGGATTGTTTTTTAAAACAGTGTGTGACAGAACCAACTAGAGGAAATAACCTGTTAGACTTGGTTCTTGTCAGCAGGGAATTGCTAATTAATTATCTTGAGGTTAATGATGAGCTTGGGGAAAGTAATCAGAAATCACTCAATTTTAATATATCATGGAATTACCCTAATAATAGCAATCAAGTCTCTGTCCCTGACTTCTGCTTGGCTGATTTCATAGGACTGAGAAATTACTTGGGTGGGCTGAACTGGAATGACCTGACTATGGGTCAGGTAGGTGGTGATGGTTGCTGACATGACGTGTTACAGAGCATAGTTCTAGCTGCTCAGACAACTTATGTTCCAAATAGGGAAATCAGCTCAAACAAAAATTATCCTAAATGGCCAGACAATAGATTAAAACATTTCATTGGTCAAAAGAGAAGCATATAGTATAGGTGAATCATAAGAGGAGAGAGGCAGTTAAGAAATTGATATATTCAGTTAAAGAGAGAAATAAAAATAGAATAAAAATAAAAAGAGATTATGAGGTTAAGTTGTAAGAGAATTGAAGACTAACCCTAAAGGATTCTTTCAGGTATACAGAAGATTAGGGACAAGATAGGCCCACTCAAAAGTAACTGAGGTCAGCTCACCAACAGTGATAAGGAAATGTGTAGAATTTTTAACACTTACTTCCTCTCAGTTTTTACACAGGAAGACACTGGCGATATTCCAGAAAAGATAAATTGTATAGAACAGGACAATAATAAACTATGCACGATTAGGGTCACAAGTGACATAGTCCTCAGACAAATAGAGAAATTAAAACCTAACAAATCCTCAGGCTCTGATGAATTGTTTGCAAGGGTTTTAAAGGAATGTAAAGAGGAACTTAGCAAACCTTTGGCTAATCTTTTCAACATATCACTACAAACTGGCATAGTGCCAGATAAGTGGAAAATGGCAAATGTAATACCTATTTACAAGGCAGGTGACAGGTCCTTAGCTTTGAACTATAGACCAATAAGCCTTACCTCCATAGTGGGAAAATTTATGGAATCAATTATTCCCGAGGCAATTCATAGCCAGCTTGAGAGGCATAAATTGATTAATGAATCTCAACATCGTTTTACAAAGGGGCGTTCCTGTCTTACGAATTTACTGACTTTTTTCACTAAGGTATTTGAGGAGGTAGATCATGGTATTGAATATGATATTGTGTATATGGACTTCAGTAAGGCTTCTGATAGAGTTCCACATCAGAGGCTGTTGAGGAAACTTAAGGTACACAGAATAGGAGAAATTTTTTCCTGGGTAGAGGCATGGTTGACAAATAGGCAGCAGAGAGGTTGCATAAATGGGGAGAAAGCAGAATGGGGGCACATTACAAGCGGTGTTCCACAGAGGTCAGTGTTGGGCCCGTTGTTGTTCACAATTTACACAAACGAAATAGATGAGGGAATAAATAGCGACATAAGCAAATTTGCTGATGATACCAAAATAGGCTGATGAATTCATTCTGACGACGTTAGAGCACTCCAGGAAGATTTAAATAGACTGATGCAGTGGTTGGAGAAGTGGCAGATGCAGTTTCATATAGACAAATGCAAAGTTCTAAACATAGGAGAGGAAAATAACCATGCCACATATAAACTAAATAATGTAGATCTTAATATGTATTACTGTTTTCAAAAAGGATTTGAGAGTTCTAGTTAGCAGTAATCTAAAACCAAGACAACAGTGCATAAGTGTTCACAATAAAGCAAACAGAATCCTTGGTTTCATGTCAGGAAGCATAAGTAATAGGAATCCTCAGGTTGTTCAACTCTCTATATCCTTGGTTAGGCCTCATTTAGATTATGCTGCACAGTTTTGGTCACTGTATTACAGAATGGATATAAATGCTCTGGAAAACGTACAGAGGAGGATGACAAAGTTGATCCCATGTATCAGAAATCTTCCCAATGAGGATAGGCTGAGGGCCCTGAATCTGCACTCTCTAGAAAGGTGTAGAATTAGGGGGGGATATGATTGAGGTGTATAAATTGAAACAAGAATTAATAAAGGGGATGTAAATAGCATGCTAAAAATATCTAGCCTAGACAGGGCTCGCAGCAGTGGTTTTAAGCTGGAAAAATTCAGATTCAGGAAGGATATAGGAAAGCACTGGTTTGGTAATAGTGTTGTGGATGATTGGAACAAAGTCCCGAGTAGTGTTATAGAAGCTAAGACGTTGTGCTCATCATCAACACCCTTAAGAACAAGGCAGGAGACATAAACAACTTGCCTACTTTTATGTACAAAAAAGCTTCACAAGTACTGACACCAATTATTGCAACACTCTTTAACAAATCCATTGAATCCTCCACCTTCCCAGCAGTTCTCAAAATAGTGAGGGTTACCCCGATCCACAAAGGAGGTGATCAAGCCGACTTGAATAACTATAGACCAATATCTAACTTACCACTACTCTCTAAAATCTTTGAAAAATTAATTCATAGATGGATCTATTCTTACCTCATCTCAAACAACATACTAAACCCCTGTCAGTTTGGGTTCAGGAATAATAAAAGCATAAATGATGCTATTATACACATACTAGAGCTAATATATACCGCCCTCGAGAAGAAAGAAATCCCACTGGGAATTTTCATTGACTTACGTAAAGCTTTTGATTCAGTCGACCATGAATTGCTGCACACTAAATTAACACACTATGGTATAAGAGGCCACTCCCTCAACTACCTAAAGTCATACCTTAGTAACAGAAGCCAATACATGTATGTGTATGCAAATGGTGCAAACTCTTTCACACAACCAATCACAGTAGGAATCCCACAGGGAAGTGTCCTAGGACCACTCCTCTTTCTCATCTACATCAATGACCTACCGAATGCATCACAGCTACTCAAACCCATATTATTTGCAGATAACACTACATACGTCTTCTCACACCCAAACCCAGCCATACTCGCCAACACTCAATGCTGAATTGCAGAAAATATCTACCTGGATGATTTATTTATTTATTTATTCTTTATTTGGAGAAGCACCTGAAGTCGGTACCTGACCAGCTGGGCTGTGGCTCATACATTGGATTGCATGCAGCCAGCAGTAACAGCCTGGTTGATCAGGCTCTGATCCACCATGAGGCCTGGTCACAGACCGGTCTGTGGGGGCGTTGTTTCCCCCCTGTGGCTCGTACGTTGGATTGTGTGCAGCCAGCAGTAACCGCCTGGTTGATCAGGCTCTGATCCACCATGAGGCCTGGTCACAGACCGGGTCGCGGGGGCATTAATCCCCGGAACTCTCTCCAGGTAAACTCTCCAGGTAAACATGATACATAGTTGCACAAAACCTATTTCATTCAGTTTGGAACCAGATCTGCAAATGTTCCACTTAACATAACACTAAATGGATCACCCATCACAAGACTCACAGAGGGAAAATTCCTAGGAATCCACCTAGACAGTAGCCTCAAATTCCAGACACATATACAACAAATTTCCAAGAAAATCTATAAGACAGTAGGCATACTATCAAAGATGTGGTACTATGTTCCACAATCGGGTCTCCTTGCACTGTATCATTCACTCATCTACCCTTATCTCACATATGGAATTTATGCATGGGGGTCAGCAACATCAGATCACCTAAGTCCACTAATAACCCAGCAAAAGGCTACAATCAGAATGATTCCAAATTCCCAATCACGACAGCACACTCCACCTCTATTCAAAAGTCTAAATTTGCTCACCATAAAGAACATCCACACTTATTCATGTGCCTACTACATACATAGAACAATACATGCAAACAAACCCACCACTCAAACTTCTCCTCACCAACCTTAACAGGACACACGACCATAACACAAGACACAGATCTCTTTTTGATGTACCCCTTGTCCATATCACACGGTGTAAAACTCTATGCACATAAAGGGCCCCAAAATCTGGAATTCATATACCAGAACATACTAAAGTAACCAGGCCTGAAAATCAATTTAAGACTTCTAAAAAACCACTTGCTCGCCCAGGACTAAATAATCTACACTCAATATTTAACATTACCAATAATTCTCCAAGTTACTTAAATCTTAAAACTTCAAGGCAACATATAGTAAATTGATCGTCTTGTTATACTGTACTACAGTGTAATGCAACAAATTGTACTTCATATTGTAAATTGTTTACTGTAATTTCTACCATTGAACCTTTCATTGCTTGTTAATTTTAAGTTAATTTTAAGCCTGCCCATAATGCTTTGCATACAAGGGCCTTTTGGCATGTACACTCAACTACTATAATCCCTTATACAACTATGTATCATGTCCAAATAAAATATGAAAAAATAGGTTAGATAAATACATGAGTGGGTGTGGGTGGGTGTGAGTTGGACCTGACTGGCTGGTGCTACTGGGTCAGGTGCCATGCTCCTGACTGGGTGGGCCATTGGTCTAAGCTGGGGGTTGATATGAACCTGCCCTACATGGGCCAGTAGGCCTGCTGAAGTGCTCTTTCTTTCTTATGTTCTTATGTTCTTTAAAACAACATCTAATCAGTTATTATATTATATGACTTCTAGTTTATTAAACATCTGCCAATCCATGAAATATTACTGCTTGAACCATTACCTGGAGAGAGTTTACCTGGAGAGAGTTCCGGGGGTCAACGCCCCCGTGGCCCGGTCTGTGACCAGGCCTCCTGGTGGATCAGAGCCTGATCAACCAGGCTGTTGCTGCTGGCTGCACGCAAACCAACGTACGAGCCACAGCCCGGCTGGTCAGGAACCGACTTTAGGTGCTTGTCCAGTGCCAGCTTGAAGACTGCCAGGGGTCTGTTGGTAATCCCCCTTATGTATGCTGGGAGGCAGTTGAACAGTCTCGGGCCCCTGACACTTATTGTATGGTCTCTTAACGTGCTAGTGACACCCCTGCTTTTCATTGGGGGGTATGTGCAGCTTCAAGATTTTTGTTCTTAATAACCTCCACCTTGACTACCTCGCATTAGTATTAAGATTAAACAAGGATTTTAATAAAAGATAACCACTCTTACCTCGTCTAGATTTAAGTAGTTATTATATACTAGGATTAGTCTGCCTGAAATGCCCTGGCATGATAGTGACTTTCTTTGTACTTAGCAAACCAAAATTGTAATTACACATTGTAACCTTTACAAAGAAATAAAATCATTATTTTTTCTTTTTTATTATGGTCAAGAAACATTTACTTTGCAGAACTACAAATTGCAATGTGAAAATTTTTGCTAAATTGTTTTAGGTATGTGTAGTGGCTGAGAAAATGAATCGTCAAGAGTATACCACAGGGACACTACATGCATCCAGGGTTCTAAAAGAGCTGTCAACATTTCGACATTTTGCAGCTCTTTGTGATGGTACGGTGAAGCTCTCTGACGGAACTGTGAAAGTTAGCAAAGCTCTCCTAGCTGCTGGCTGTCCATATTTCAAGTAAGATTTTGATATTTTTATGTAACTACACTTACCATTCTTTGCTCAGTAATAGCCCACATGGAGACAGAAACTCAGGAGACTAATTGAGCTGTATATTTTGACCCCTTTCTGGGATCCTCTTCATATAGATCAATTAATTGCCTGAGTTTCTGTCTCCATGTGGGTTAGCATTGAGCACTGTCAAGTGTTCATTACACTTTAGTTATTCATTACCATTCATTTTTAATTCTGACAATATTGCAATATTTAAGTTTTCCCTCTTCAGATAGGTGCATTTTTCTTGTTAATGTCATTTAATTTTCTGTGTGTTCATTTACACATATAAATTGTGATATCTTGTATGTAGCACACTTGTTAGATGAGGCTGTCCATGTAAGCATAGCATAGTGGTTGTACTACCATGGGAGAAGTAACAAGGAGAGCCCCTTTGCTCATTAGATACATAATCTTTCATTGTCTCCAGAATAATTTCTGCTTTGAATTTTAAGTCATTGGTTGGCAAAACATCTTCATAATAAAGATTCCAATTTTTGTCTTGTTCATCATAGCACTGCTTTATGGCCTGTGACTTGCTCACCAACTTTGGATGTCTTGCTCTGTCCAGGGCTTTGGTAGCATGGCTCCTATTTACATTTTAGGAATACTAATTCACTCACATCAGGCAGTCTCTTATGGATTCCATATGAGGATTCATAAGATAAGATTTTGTTCGTATTTCTAACCCCAGAGGGTTAGCCTCCGAGGATAACCCAAGGAAAGCAGTGTGTCATCAAGGGACTGTACTCGCCTAGTTGTGGTTGCAGGGGTCGATTCACAGCTCCTGGCCCCACCTCTTCAACTGGCCTCTACCCAGTCACTCTTCCCGCTCCGTGAGCTTTTTCATACCTCTTCTTATTTCCTTTGGGGTCCTCAATATTGGCCACCAGTTGCCTAACACTCAGGTACCTACTTATTTGCTAGGTGAATGAGACAGTAGGCGTAAGGAAACACACCCAGTGTTTCCACCCTTGTTGGAGGTCAAACCACAGACACTGTGTGAGGCGAAAGCATTGCCTACCAAGCCACGGGACATGGTCATAGCTCTTCACTACAAAATCTTGATGGTCTGCTCCATATTCTCTACTTTTGCATTACTCCTTCAGTAAATATTGGTTTCTCATTATTCTCTCCTGATTGATACATTGCTAACCTTCCATATTTCTTACATTTTTTTTTTATCACCTCTTTGTGTTTCTTTTGTCACATTTTTGTTTTTAATTGCAAGCAGGCAGCATATGTAAACTGCTCAAATGAAAATGTATATTAATACAAATCAATGAAAAAACATAACTAAGAAAAATTAAAATAGTACATGTATAATAAAAACATGTTTATAGAGGGGTCACAGATATATCAGATCACTTTCTAGTTGTAGCTGCAGTGAGAGTAAAAGGTAGATGGGATACAAGGAAAATAGAAGCATAAGGGAACAGAGAGGTGAAGGTGCATAAACTAAAAGAGGAGGCATTTAGGGTAAGATATAAACAACTATTGGAGGATAGATGGGCTAGTGAGAGTATAGGCAATGGGGTCAAAGATGTATGGAGTAGGTTTAAGAATGTAGTGTTAGAGTGTTCAGCAGAAGTTTGTGGTTACAATAAAGTGGGTGCAAGTGGGAAGAAGAGCGATTGGTGGAATGATGATGTAAAGAGAGTAGTAAGGGAGAAAAAGTTAGCATATGAGAGGTTTTTACAAAGTAGAAGTGATGCAAGGAGGGAAGAGTATAGAGAGAAAAAGAAAGGTTAAGAGAGTGGTGAAGCAATGTAAAAAGAGAGCAAATGAGAAAGTGGGTGAGATGTTATCAACAAATTTTTTTGAAAATAAGAAAAAGTTTTGGAGTGAGATTAATAAGTTGAGGAAGCCTAGGGAACAAATGGATTTGACAGTTAAAAATAGGAGAGGAGAGTTATTAAATGGAGAGTTAGAGGTATCGGGAAGATGGAAGGAATATTTTGAGGAATTGTTAAACATTGATGAAGCTAGGGAAGCTGTGATTTCGTGTATAGGGCAAGGAGGAATAACATCTTGTAGGAGTGAGGAAGAGCCAGTTGTGAGTGTGGGGGAAGTTTGTGAGGCAACGAGTAGAATGAAAGGGGGTAAGGCAGCTGGGATTGATGGGGTAAAGATAGAAATGTTAAAAACAGGTGGAGATATAGTTTTGGAGTGGTTGGTGCTATTTATTTATTTATTTATTTTTATTTGGACATGATACATAGTTGTACAAAGAAATATAGTGATTGGGTGTACATGCCAAAAGCCCCTTGTATGCAGAGCATTATGGGCAGGCTTAAAAGTAACTTAAGATTAACTAAGCAATGATATATTCAGTGATAAAAATTATAGCAAACAAATCACAACATGAAGTACAAATGAGTATTTCAAATAAGAAGCATTATAGTAATAAAATTGTAGCATAACAATGTATAATATAATCCTATCAAATCGAATAAAATCAATGATTTGTAGTGCAGAAACAGGTCATATGGTCATTAGATGAGTTACTGTGCATTCAAGGGAATGGAGTATTCTATTACGTAATGTGATTAAAAAAAAAACAGTGTGATAGGGTCACAGCTTATACATTTATGAGATACAGTTATTCAGTATTTATTTAGTTGTGGGTGAGTAAGTGGTTTTTAAGAAGAGTCTTGAATTGATAAACAGACAGTGTTTCTTTTATATTCACAGGTAATGAATTCCAGATTTTTGAGCCTTTTATGTGCATTGAGCTTTTACATAGAGTGAGATGGACACGGGGAACGTCAAAGAGTGATCTGTGCCTTGTGTTATGGTCATGTGTTCTGTTGAGGTTGGTAAGGAGATGTTAGAGGGGAGGGTTTATATCTGAGCTTATTGTTCTATGTATGTAATAGGCACAATAATAAGTATGGATGTTTTGTACGGTGAGTAAGTTTAGAGTTTTGAATATTGGTGGGGTATGCTGCCTGGAGTGGGAATTCGTTATCATTCTGACTGCAGCCTGTTGTTGGGTAATTAATGGTCAGAGATGATTTATTGTTGTTGAGCCCCATGCACAGATTCCAATGGTGAGATAGGGGTAAATGAGTGAGTGATATAGGGCCAGGAGAGCTGATTGTGGAACATAGTACCATATCTTCGATAGTATGCCTATGGTCTTGGAGATTTTCTTGGAAATTTGTTGTACATGTGTTTGAAATTTGAGTCTATTATCAAGGTGGATTCCTAAGAATTTTCCATCTGTGAGCTTTGTGATAGGTGATCCATTTATCATTATGTTAAGAGGAACATCTGTAGTTCTGTTCCCAAACTAAATGAAGTAGGTTTTGTCAATATTGAGAGTAAGTTTGTTAATCATCATCCAGGTAAATATTTTCTGTAATTTGGTATTTACAGTATTGGCTAGTATGACTGGGCTTGGGTGAGAGAAGACGTATGTTGTGTCATCTGCAAATAGTGTGGGTTTGAGTAGTTGTGATGCATTTGGTAGGTCGTTTATATAAATGAGAAAGAGAAGAGGGCCAAGGACACTTCCCTGTGGGACACCAACTGTAATTGGTTGTGTGGAAGAGTTTGCTTCATTTGTGTACACACATTGGCTTCTGTTGCTAAGGTATGGCTTTAGGTAGTTGAGGGAGTGCCCTCTTATACCATAGTGTGATAATCTTATGTACAACAAATCATGGTCAACTGTATCAAAAGCTTTACATAAATCAATGAAGATCCTCAGTGGGACTTCTTTTTTCTCGAGTGTAGTGTACGTATATTTGTTCTAGCATATGTATAATAGCATCATTCATATTTTTATTAGGTCAGGTACCCTAAAGTCGGTACCTGACCAGCTGGGCTGTGGCTCGTACGTTGGATTGCGTGCAGCCAGCAGTAACAGCCTGGTTGATCAGGCTCTGATTCACCATGAGGCCTGGTCACAGACCAGGCTGCGGGGGCATTGACCCCTGGAACTCTCTCCAGGTAAACTCCAGGTAGACAGGGGTTGAATATGTTGTGGGAGATGAGGTAGGAATAGATTCGCTTATGAATTAATTTTTCAAAGATTTTAGAGAGAATGGGAAAGTTGGATATTGGCCTATAGTTATTCAAGTCTGCTTGATCTCCTCCTTTATGTATCGGAGTGACCCTTGCTATTTTGAGAACTGTAGGGAAAGTAGACGATTCGATGGATTTGTTAAAGAGTGTTGCAATGATCGGTGACAGTAAGGTATTTAAATCTCCTGTCTTGTTCTTTAGTGTGTTGATAATAAGTGAGACTTCCGTTGGGTTAGTCAGAGCTAGGAATAGTGTGTTCGAGTAGGTACCAGTGAGGTAGTCATTAGGTGGGATTTTACCCGCAAGGTTTTTTCCTTTGGTGGAGAAGAAAACATTGAGTCTGTTTGCTGTTTCAGTTGGTGGGAGTAGGGGTTCATCTGGTTTTGTTAGTTTGATTGTTCTGTTTCCTGATATCTTTTTTGTTCCTGGAAGAGGGTAAGGTACTTAGGGATTGGTAGAGAGCATGCATAGTTCCTTTGTGTAAAGGCAAAAGGGATAAAAGAGAGTACAAAAATTGTAGGGGAATAAGTCTGTTGAGTATACCTGGTAAAGTGTATGGTAGAGTTATTATTGAAAGAATTAAGAGTAAGACGGAGAGTAGGATAGCAGATGAACAAGGAGGCTTTAGGAAGGGTAGGGGGCGTGTAGACCAAGTGTTTACAGTGAAACATAGGCGAACAGTATTTAGATAAGGGTAAAGAGGTTTTTGTGGCATTTATGGATTTGGAAAAGGCATATGACAGGGTGGATAGGGGGGCAATGTGACAGATGTTGCAGGTGTATGGTATAGGAGGTAGGTTACTGAAAGCAATGAAGGGTTTTTATGAGGAAAGTGAGGCTCAGGTTAGAGTATGTAGGAGAGAGGGAGATTATTTTCCAGTAAAAGTAGGTGTGACATAACCGTGGTTGTTCAATATATTTATAGATGAGGT